ATCTGCAGTGTTTATCCCAAGAGACATGCTGATCTGGTTTAGCTTCTAGATCCTATCCTAACGAGAAAATGAATCCTAACAATAAAAGTATAATTTATAACCATGAGACAGATTTGGAGTTTCCATCTCTGAGATTAAAAGTGCCCCAGAAAACAAGAACTCACTGGTCTCCTAAAAGCTTTCATTATTGGGCTGAAACAGTAAAAACAAAGGAAAAACTATTAAAATAGAAAGCAGCTGTGAACCTGTGAATGCAGAGTTTACATGGATTTGCAAAGATCCAGGTACAGAAAATGAAGGATTCCAAGAAGAGCTGGTAACCTTCCAGCAAAGAATACAAATGCCTTCATGAATCAATTTATTTTATCCTGTGATTTGCTCCTAACAGGAGCCATCCCTCTGGAGATGCCTCTTTCTGTACACTGGCTGTAAATCAGTAAAACCAGTGGCTGGTTCAGAGGCAAAACAGACACTTGGGTGACCTGGCCCTTTCCAGGAAGACAAAATATTGAGATTGAAGCATGAACAGGCCAGAAACAGACTCTGTTTTATCCTTGTTCCATTGCCTACAGGTCATTTCCTTGCCTTTGGGCATGTTGTGTCCTCTCCTCCCATGTGCAGCAACACGACCAGCCCTCCTTGGTGTGATCACCTGACTCAAATTGTCCCTCTCACTACTGACAAAATGTTTCTTGAAAGGTTTTCAAAGAATTCTGCCTGCACTTTAACAACCATTCCAGTTCTAAGGAGCTAGAAAGACCCCTTATATGTTTCTGAACTACATAATCTACACCTAAGTGTGCTGATGACACAAAAACTGGTGTCTTTTCAGCATTAAAGTAGATTCCTTCATTATGAATCACCAAAAATGGTCTTCAGTGTCATAGAAATTGTGGAAGCAAAAGCCCACAGCAGTGGAAAATGAATGTTATATGCCAAGCAGCAAGTGATAGGCCAAGATGAAATGGCTTCCACCTGCACCAGGGGAGGTTTAGACTGGATTTGAGGAAAAAAATTCCTCATCAAAAGGGCTGCAAGCATTGAGCCAGGCTGCCCAGGGACGTGGTGGAGTCACTGTGTAGATGTGGCACTTGGGGACGTGGCTGAGTGCTGGGCTTGGCTGTGCTGGATTTACGGCTGGATTTGATGATTGTAAAGGTCTTTTCCACACAAATGATTCCAGTAATTCTAGGATCATTCTTCAAAATGAACTTGCTGCTTTCCCTAATTGAACCCCTGTTGTTCAGAACAGCAATTTCCTTGGATATTTACTATTCAGTTTATTGGAGAAACACACAAAAATGCAAGCCGAGGGCTGGGAAATGTTGATGATACCTTAATTGCACTAAAATGAATGTAAGCAGGGAAGAGGATGATAAAAAAGAGGGGCAGAATTATTCTCAACTAATTTTAGGCATCCACAGTGGAGAATGAGTTTTATCTTCATTATTTTAAAATGTGGAAATGTCTGAATTTACTCAGACAAGCCTCTAACTTTCTAATCATTTTCTAATCATTTTCTGACTAGACATAACGGGAAGAAATTGATTTTAAGGACATTTTTTCCTTTATGGATTTAATATGATTTTTTTTTTAATAAATAGATTTTCCAAGCTTGTAAAAAATTTTCCCTTGTTAAAGAAATACATTTACACTTATGGAAATCAAGATTTTTTTTTTAAATCTCTAGCAGTAATTGTTGAAAATGAAACACATTCCTATATCTGCATGATTTGGAGTAAAAATTGGTTTACTCTCACTTAGGCAATAACTAGCAACCAGAAGTATTCAGCTTTAAAGTAGATTTTTTTTCAAAGTTTGTTTTTGCTTACGGGGAATTTTATATTATCATTGCCATTTTGTTGGAAATTCCTAAACAGAAAGGAACATCAAACACTCTGGCTGTAATTATATTTACTCCTTGGGAATCCCTCAGTACATCAGGGGAACTGAAAGAAAATTTTTCTTGGAATATTCCATGGCAGCTTCTTCTCCAGTCAGTCTTAAACCACTGAGCTTGTGCAGAAATGGCAGCAGAAGAAGAAAACCCTAAAAAGTCCCAGATATCCAACCATCCCCTGATCTTTAGAGCAAAGTCCAGCTCCAGGTCCTGCTCCACCATGCCCCTCTTCCCAACAGCCCAACAGGCTCCATAAGATGAATAAGCCTGGTGGGGACACCTTGAAAGTTACAATGAGATGCAGAGGAGGACCTGAGGGTCCAAAGAGGAAGATGGAGTGAGAGATGGAAGTCTTACATCTCAGGAATTTGTGAAGGAGCAGGAAGGAAGAGGAAAGAGAGTACAGGAAAAGTCTGGAGAAGAGGAGAAGACACACACTCAGCTGTGCCCCAACTGCTCAGCCTCTCCCCATCCAGTGAAATCTCCAAATGAGCACTGAATCTTCACTGTCCCATCAACAGGGTATAGAAGGTGAAGGAAAACACTGACTCAGACTGCACTGACATGAAGAGAAATAATAAAAGAGCTTTGGAATGCAGCACTTCTGCTGCTTATTCATGGACACCCTGAGAGATTCCAGGAAGAGAAGTGCTGGATAGACCAAAGGCTGTCATGGTAACAAGGTTAGCAGCACTTCTGTCACACGTTAAACCCATACCTGCATGTGCTGAGGTGTTTGGGCACGCTGCCTTTGAGGTAAATCCCACAGCTGACCCCCTCCTAGGCTTTGTGCCAGAATATTCTGCAACAGTTCAGTGAGGTCTGCCAGGACCAAAGTGACTCAAGAGCTTTCTTTAACTCACTTGGACTGTGTTTCAGTTTTCCTTGTCAGGTTTGATCACATGGTTGAGACTTTCCAGCTACTGCTCAGATCACACAAAGGCTGGACATGGTCAGGTAAGACTTTTGCCATGCCCACATCCTTATTCTCTCCCATGACAGCCTTGCCCACCTTACCTATTAATTAATTAAACAAATATATTTACCCTATAAACACACCCACAGAATTCCCCATTAACATTTCCATATCAATAACCAGCTGTATCCATGGCACAGATAAAAAAGACAGGTGTTTTTATAATGCTGATCACCTTTCCCATGCTCCACAAAACCTTTCAAATACCATCTTTTGCAGGGCATAAAGGTGTTTTTCTGCAGCACAAAACACACCAGCTACTGTCAGTGTCATAACACTTAAATCCTATTTTCTCCATATCAAAATATAAAAGTGGCACACTTGATACAGGAAAAGAGTGGTTGTCAGAGCATGGGGCAGAGAGACAGGAACTTCAAACCCAGCTCCAGCTAATGCTGGGATGTTGGACAAGTTATCTCCACTGCCCTTACTTGAGCTTCCAGTAGTCACTGCATTATTCATTGTGAACATCTCAGCACTCCCTGCTCCAGAGTCATTACTTCTGTTCCCTCGAGCTTCACAGCAGCCACCAAAAATTCAACAGGAATCCATTTTTTTAGCATGGACTATAACTGAGCTTCACCTTTGGGGCCTTCAGCATTTCTGAGGAAGATCAAATGAAGATATCAACACTTGAGAGATTCAGCTAAAAGCAAGAGAAGTTGCACCAATCAATTAGAAAGCTCTCAGGTTGTGTGTGGGCTTGCCAGGCTACCACAGAATATTTAAAACTTTTGCAATGAAAAAATGTCAGCTGCTTGCTTTTAATTGCTCTGGGTTCAGTCCCAACCAAGTACTGCAGGCAGCCTGCAGAGCAAGAACGCCTCAAGCTCTGATATTCCTCTGATGACTGACTTGGAATTTTTGGCAAATAATTTCATTTTTCATCTTTCACCATACACAGAACAGAGGTAAAAATATCCACCCCTCAGCTTCCATGCATTCTGCTATTGCTATAAGTTTTTTTAGATTTTAAACTACACAGAGTTAACCAGAACAAAGTGTTTCTGTTTATTGTAACACTGGAAGCAAGAAATAGCTGCAAAATTGTGGACTTAAAATAATGCACCACAGTCAGGCCTCCTGGAATGAGATAAAAAGTTACAAAGTGCTCCGAAATCTGCAATGCAGATCAAAAATCGAGTATTCTTTGCTCATTCCATCTGTGGACTATGGACTGCAGAAAAACAAGGTAACAGAGACCATGCAATGCTGCACAGATTCTTCTTTTCCCCTTCTGTGTTTTCCCCAGTCAAACAGACACATTTATTTCATTGTCTTGTGGATGTTGATTAAATTCTGATGATTTTAACAGAAAAATAGGAGCCATAACAATTTTTACTGTGCATGTTTCAAGTGCTGCCCCGAGCTCACTGTCTCCCTGTTTAAAATGGTCATAAAATCTTATCCTCCAGGTAGGGGAAATAATAGCCAAAAATTTAATAACATGTATGGCTACATTAATTTTAATTGTCATCGTGTAAAAAATAATTGCTTCTTTAAAAAGTACATCTATGTTTGAATTTCTATATCACTTATCCCAGAGATTTGTAGCACAAGAAGCTGTTTTACAGCAACCTAAAAAAAACTGTATTTTTTTTCTGCTAATAAGAATTTTACATTTGGATCTGTGGAGGTTTCATAAGAAATTAAATAAAAAAAGACCAGTAATCCATCAAAACAATGTGAGAGAACACCAGCCACATCTGAGTGAACTGGGCACTCACCCAAGCAGAAGTGACAAGCACTTTAGGTGGCAACAGTGGCATTAAAATAGCATTTCCCTCCTCTGAAAATCAAGACTTTTAAAACCTCTAGGAGTAATGGGAAATAAACGTGGTGAGCATCCTGCATAAATAAATGCATAAATTGAGTTTATTTATCCATGAAGAAAATGGAGATCTGTGCAAAGTTTTAAATTAACTCAAACAAGAGAATAGATACATTTTTCTGGAGAGAAGAGAGCGAAAACTACTGATGATGCTCCTAAATCCTAGAACTCAGAAGTTTACCCAGTGGTTACTGGAAGCACAGTTTCAGCATAATGATATTTTTAATTTCTAAAATAGTCAGATATTGATATATATTTATATGTGTATATTTTTATACATATATAGGTATAGATATTTTTAACAACCCACAACAAATTGATTAGATAAGAAGCTGCCCCTCTCAGTCAGAAAACTTGTGTTTAGCTGATACAAATTTCAAAGAGCTGATGCCCACTGAGGTGTGGCTACACACTGAGGATTCATCTGAAGATTTCACACCCACATTCACAGGGATGAACTCACCAGCACTCTCCTTGAACAGATTAACAGCAAAATTGCAAATACATCTCACTTCTGATATTAACTCTTTCCCCTTTATTTACACAGAAGGCAATGAGTAATAGTCTCCCACCTGCTGTGGAATTACCTCAGGGATTCTTTCAAAGAAAGAGCAGGTTCTTAGGAGAATGATTAATTTCCTGTAACTCTGGATATTGCAAAGTAGCAATCTACAGCTGAGCAGGCCTCAGGCTGCCTTTAAACTCAATAAATAAAAAAAAACAGGCTTGTTTAAAAATACCAGAGCAGCCCTTTTGGTTCTGCCTGAGGGTCTACCTACTACATCTTCCAGTCTCCAGTAGTGGATATTTAGGGAACAGCATGGGGACAGGAGATAAATGAACACTCTCCCAGCTCCCATGTTCATCCCAGAGAATTTCCTGCACAGAAGCAGGTTTCTCTGGCATAGTAATAACCCCCCATGTATTTCACAGTGACAGCAGGCAAGAGATCAGCTCCTAAATCATTGGCCTGATATACCAGGGACACCTGCACAAGGTGGAAAGTGCACAGAGTGAAGAGGGAACCTTGAAATCTCCTGAAGACTCCTGTTCCACATCAGTGGAGCTGAGACACCACCCAGCATTTTATACCTTTAGCAATCTGTTTCTCATTTGTGTCACCTCCTAGCTACTGGTATGTGCTACTTGAAATATCTGCATCCTTTTGTCTGACCATTTATATAAGCACAGCAGTAGCACGACAAAGAGAATGAATCTGCTACAAATAAAGATGCACAGAGGGTGAAGTGTTGAACAGTTCAAGTCCAAGTGGCTTACATAAACCACGTTAACATTTTCCATTATCTCTTTCTTATACAGCCAGTGTCCACCCTCTGACAGTTTAATGAGTCAGATGAATGCCTGGAGGGGGAAAAAACCCAACCCTTATAGTTCTTATTTGGTAATGGAATAAGAAAGCTGAGCAATGTGGAGCTGGAGCTTTACAGGTTGCTTTGCATTTTGACAAGCTTTAGCGCTTAACTATTTTTGTGTACATGGGACAACGGGCTGCCCAGGGAAGTGGCTGAGTCACCAGCCTGGAAGTATTTAAAAAGTGTAGATGTGGCACTTGGGGACAAGGTTTAGTGGTGGACTGGGCAGCGCTGGGTCAAGGACTGGACTCAGTGATTTGAAAGGTCTCAGACAATTCTGTTGTTCTGTGGTTCTATCGCTATACAATAAGGTGTTCTCATCTCAGGATTGAAGGCCAAGACAAATTAATTCCCTACATAACAGAGCTCATTCATCAGAGTTAAACAAAGTGATGCAACTAAGAGTTAAACAAGGAGCTGCCAGCTACAACTTTACAGCAGGTGATTTCTTCAAGCTGAATCTCTGATCCATTTTCAGTGTTCAAATTCTAGTCCAGGGTAAGCCAGAACAGCACCTGCAAGTATGAAGCATCGTTTCACTTTCTCGTCCTCAAAGCAGCCACAGCTGGATTCTCAAACAGTTTTGGGCACATCTGGAACACACCAAGAACACATGGTGGAAGGTCAAGCTCTTTTTTTGCTGTCAGTAGCTGCTAGTGAAGGAAGGCAGCAGTGGCAGGCACAATTTTATACAGAGAGGCTTAAGACACACAAAGTTCACCCTCACAGGGAAATGGATGGAGCTCAGCCTCACCCTGGTCTGGCTTTGTGGTGAATCTGGCTCTGAGTGTGGCTCAGGACACTCCTCCAAAAGAAGCATGGAAACATCCACTTTGTCCAAAGCAGGGAGACACAGCTGATGACTGTGTGTCAACAGGAGCACGTCTAAAGGCTCATTCCTAACCTGGAAAATCAACTCAGTCAGGGGTTCATGAGCACTTAACTGACATCAGAAACAGCAACAACAAAAAATTGCCTATTCCACCCAATCTTTCCCATTTCCTAACAACAGTTATCCTGCAGCACTGCAGGTGTTGGACATCCTCTGAACCACTCTCAGAACACTGCTGTTGGCTGGTGGCTTTCCTCCTAGATTGGCCACAGTGTTATTTTAACCCTTGAAGGGCTCATCATCCCCCAAACCCACAGAAAAATGCTGATTTAAAGGACAGGGAGTGTTTTCATTTAGGAGCAGGCACAGTGAGATGATTCTGTGTGAACAGAGAAGGCACTGTGGAACTTAACAAAGTAAGAGGTTCTGCAGCATGTATTGTCATCTATCAAGTGTGCAAAAAATGGCATCTATTTTAGAAACCACTTTCAGCAAATAGTGTTTATTGTATGAACTGTGTAAGTGTGTAACCCTGTACAAATTCTGTATAAACTACTGTATAAATTCAGAGATTTGGTATATTTGATGGAGTGGGGAATTGTAACAGTCACTACTGAGGGTCTGCTGGGAATGCACCAGACAGAAGTGACAGAGCCAGGACTGAGGTGTGCCACTCTTCTGAAATATGAAAAAAACCCTCAGTGGTCTATTCCCAGGGTCTTTACATTCCTGTGTAATGTAAAATTCAAGGGCAGATTTGGTGCTTTACTGAGGCTCTGCAAAAACACCTTTCCATGGGGTCAAGACACTGGGGCAACTTCTTACTGAGACGTGTTTCATGCTGAGAATTTTGCAGCCTCCCTCACACAGCTTAGAGATTTGTTGGTGTAAATTTGGAAGTACTCATCAGTCTCTGGACACCTAGAATAAATGTGAGAACCTTTAGATGTGTTTATCTATCTCATCCATAAATCATTTACCCAAAAAATAAAACCCCAAACCCATCCTAAATATTTTGTTTCTACAGCAAATGTAGAAATTAGATGTGGTGCTTAGGGACATGGTTTAGTGGTGGATCTGGTAGTGTTGTATTTATGGTTGGACTGGATGATCCAAAGAGCCTTTTCCAACCTAAATCACAGAATAATTTGATTTGGAAGAGACTCACAAGGATTATCAAGTTCAGCCCTTAAGTGAATGAGCCATACAGAGATCAAACCCACACCCTTGGCATTATTAAATTTTTCTATTACTCTAAAAGTCCCCTCTAGTGGACCACAAAACTTGCTGGACTGTCTACAGTTTCCTAATACACAAGGGATTTTCATACCCTTGGTTTGGAACTGCACCACACTCAAAAAAAAAAAAAAATGCAACTTTTTAATTTGAATTTGTAATACAAATTGTTCAACAACACCCAGCACTGTCAGCTTTATTTTGGGAAGCACAAGCAAGCAGAGCTAGACTGCCTGGTATGTCATTTGGGGCAGTGGGAAAGTAAACCAACATCATCACCTCTATTTAAATAGTGCTGTTGCAACATCTGAAAATAGGAAGCGCTGGGAAGGTTGGTGTTGTCCAGCTCGAGTGGTGATGGTGCAAACATCGATGTGTGAGGTTATCATTCTGCCTGGGAGCAGAGACTGGGTGCTGTGGATGTGACCCTGTCCCCCAGGTAGCTGCAGCAGCAGTGTGGGGAGCTGCAGCCAGCAGGCTGACACCAAGGGAGTGAAAGCATATGTGAAAATAAATAGCCCATCCAAGTCTCATTCCAAATGGGACTGCTCATTGATGTGGCCTGCTGGGAAAATCAGAAGGGAAGCAGTGAGAATTGCTGCCATACCATTACTCTGGAGGGATATTTAGGGATGTAATGATGCCAAATCTTCTGTTTCCAGGAAACAGAATAGTGTGATGTACAGAAATAAATAACCCCTGGAGCAGAGAGGGCCTCACCATCACACTTCAGGATGGAAAGCAAATTATCAAATATGCTTGTGTGTCATAAAACTTTCACCCACTAAAAGGATCATTGATTCAAGAAGGATTGATTCGAGAATGATTGAAATTGATTATTTAAAACTAACAAGCCAGCCAAGAACAACACTATTCATACATTCCCAGTTTTGTGCTTCTGGAAGTGCTGGAGGAGCCTCTAGAATACAGCACTGTCCCAGGAACTGGGAAAATGATGGCAAACTCCAAGTGATGTGAGGTTAGCTGGAGACTACTTGATGAGCATCTTTGATGAGCTGTGGATCCATCCCTGGATCCATTCCTCCCATCCCCAACAACACTTTCCTCAAAGCACAGCTCCCCCAGAGACTTGAGGAAACAACACAGGAGTAGTGTAAGCCTGAATTTGTACAGGTGGAATTCTGCACCACTCAGAATCAGGATGTTCACACCATTTCTGTGAGACAACAGCCTTTCACTACCAAGTGACCAGAATGAGAGAATGAGGGCAAGAAACCAAGTCCCAGCTCAAGAGGCCGGTCCAGTCACCAGGAGGAACAAATAATTTTTCCTTTCAGTGCATCCCAGGACTTCTTGAGATGAAATGCATGACATCTGATTTACTGCCTTGCCTTTACTGGATTGTCTGAATACGCTTAAACACCATAAATGCAAACTGCAGTCTTCAAACTGACTGAAGGGGAAGAAAGAGAAGAAAAACAGATGTAATTTGTAATGTAATTTGTATATTGATACAGCACAGTAGCATTGGCCATCCACACGCTGGTTTATTTTTTTTGGACAAAATTCCTGTTTTCACATGAACTGTCTTTTGACAAGGTCTGAAAGATTGTGTGGTCAAATGTGTCAACAGAACCAAGAGGGGGATCAAAATATTTCTATACAGATCAAAATTAAGCAGGATCAAATGCAATTCAAGACCTGCAGTCTCTTGTGGAAGCACATTAGATGGGAAAGTCAAGGGATGTGAAGGGAAAAAATGCAGAAACATTCCACAATGCATGAAATATCAGTGTGAACTGAGGACCTCTGTTCTCTAAGTTCCTATAAAAATTCAAGCTGTAACTCAGTGCCTGTATCATACAGATATATAGAATTATAGCCACCAGCTCATCCTGGATATCACTGTAATTCTAGTCAAACCAGAACAGGAAATTACAGCATCAGAAACATCTTAAACTGAGTCCTCTAAAAAAACCAAATTCTGTCATTTCAACCAATTCCTATTATATATGAAAGCAAAGTAATAAATAAATACATTTTTTTTTCTTCAGGTTCACAAACAAAAAGACACTCCCCATCCGGAGTGGTGCATTTCCCCAATTACCTAGATCTCTTCTGGAATGTTCTATGATCCCAGGAATTCCTGCTAGGCCGTGGCCTTTGTGAAATGAGGTTGGTGGTGAAGTGCCCCTTGACCTCACACCAAGGACTTTTGTGTGTCCAGGATGGGAGCAGAGACCATGTTGGGTGGGGAATGATGGTGGAAATATTTAGTCAGACAATTCCCAAGAAATATTCCCTGACAACCTTGAAACATTCCTTACCTTCCATTGTTACTGGAATTTTAAAAATTCCAGCAATTATCTACCCAGATTGTGGCCAGGATGGAAATTTAGATACCAACAGAAAGTGTAGTATGAATGTTGCCATCTTACCTCTATGATTGACTATTGTAGTTGTAATAAATTCTACTGACAGCCTCTGTAAAAGTTGAACTAGTCAGTGATTAGGAACGGCTAAAAATCTTGTGATCCACCTAAAAACGGTGAAAAAACCCCAGGTTGCTGCTGGTTCAGAAGATGTGTAAAAATTCCACCTGTGGTGAACTGGTGTTTTTACAACATCCTGTTAAGATCACCTTTTGCTGGGATTCATTTGATGATGGTGCAAATTAATTACATGAGTAATCCTTCAGATGTAAATGATTGACCAGCTCTGGGACTAAGACTGGACTGAGCTATGCCTGAGCTCTGGAATGAGTTCAACAAGCAAGGGAGGTCTACTCTGACCATCATGACTCAGCAGAAGGGTTCCTTTTACCTTTTTGCATTTTTCATCCCTTTGTAAATCATTCTATCCCAATTCTAACTCAATTTTCCTCTGAGTGTTTCATCCATGTAAAAAGTGATAGAGTGGACCTTGACACTGAACTTTGCTAACTCACACTTCTAGAAATTCATGCTAAACATACTTTTGCTAATGGCTTTGATGATGATTCTGTAATGACCTAAAACCACTCATTGACAACACCATCAAGCTCAGGAACTGAATCCAGGCAATCATGAAGGTGCCATCCAGGGATTTTTCAAGGAAACTATGCCCAAAAGAGAAAATGAGTTATGTTGCTTTCCAACTCTGAAAAAAGTATTTCTTGGTATAAATCGCTTCAGAATGAATTTACAATGTCATTCTCTCAGCCATTCTGTGAAATTACCCATGCATTACATTCTCAAAAGCATTTTATGCCATCTGTTTGGGATACTTAGTGTGAACATATTTGGGGGGTGAAATTAGTAATTATAAGAGGAGGAAATTAACATATTGGACTAATTAACAGCATCTTCTGGAAAAGAAACAGGGAAGATAACGAATTACAAAGCTTAATGTTTACTGTTCTCCCAGCTAAATAAAGATTGTTCAATATGGCTCTCCTTGGGTTTCTTTTCTTGATTTTTTTTTTTGTCCCCTTCTAAAATATGATATCTGCACTGTGTCAAAGAACAGGAGCCAGAGAAAAGACTCAGACACTGCAGGCTCTGTGGTCTGGTTCTCTCCATCCACACTGCTGAATGGAGCTCACCAATGTTCCCGTGTGACACATCCTTGTCATTATCAGGGCTCAAAATGAGGGTTGTAACACAGCTCACCTCATTTTGGAATTGAAATATTAGAGCAGACTTAGTTACAGAAGCTCATTATCTTTGGATCCCAATAAAGAAAAAGCATTTAGTTTCTGCTCCATTTTAGGTTTTAATTTAGGATTAAAGTCTGCTTTGGTCTTTAACTGTACCATTAGTGCTCTACTGACCATGAAGAGGTGGTAATCATATTGCAGACCTCCATTTTTAGTGAGAAGGTTCATAGGTGAATAGTGCAGACTGTTTGGAATATCCAGTTTTCATGGAGCACAAAACCATCGTGTCATGGTGGTTTTAGAACCACCATGTTCTTGTTGATGATCCACCACAATGAGAAAAGAACATTGGTCCATGCTAAGCAAAAAAGTGGTTTTTTGTCCCTAGGATGTCCCAAAGTTCACCTCATGCTTATGCCTGAGGCTGACCATAGAGCAGACTTGGGGTTTATGATATTTGGGTTTTATTATATGTATGAACCCACTCTCAAAGCACAGAACGGGTTCACAGGATTTTAAAGTATGATAGGAAATGTTTGTTCTAAAAAAGCTGCAGGTTGGACTGACTATAAAAATCAACTTCTATTAATTTCAGAGCATTGCTTTACCTCTGATCAGTGATACCTCACAAAGATAGTGGACTAGGAGAGAGGCTTCTGTGGCTCCTCCCTTCCCTTTTCCCATTAAAATTCTGTTTCAGTAGCCACTGGAGAAAATTCCCTGTGCCCACACATCACATAAACAGCCCAGAAAATTGTACTTTGTCAACAACTGGAAAATAAATTGTTTGCTGACTTCTAAGACAGCCTGATGTGAAATTTGGGTTTTTTTTTTTTTTTTTCTAAAATAGAAGCTCTGCTCAGGGAGAAACACTTTATTAATAAATAGCAAGTTTTACGACAATATTTACAAACACATTCAAGAGGCAAGGAACACCTAAAAGAAAGGTCCAAATATAGAACCTCATTTATCTTCCCTTTGCTTCCAGCTAAGGAATGGAATAGATGGTCATTAAATTGATATAAACAAATCTGCAACACGAGGCAGAGTTGCTCCCTGGAACACAATGGCATCAAGGGGCAGAGCTCGGGCCAGATTCATAATACAGATCAACACACCCATTTATATGCAAATTAAAGAGGCAGTTAAAGCTCCACAACTTTCACACTTCAGTCTGATATCTAGATCAGTTTACTGTCCTTAAGAAATTGATAAAGTCAGAATAAAACACCACTGATCTGACATATTTTACAGAAAGATTTTTAATTCCCTGAGCCTCGTTTCAGTTGTTGTTTCCCAGGGTTGGAGAACTGGCTGAATGATACCTACATTATATTTTAAACTCCTCCCTCCACTAAGATTCACCAGGGAGGGAAAAAAAAGTGAGAAGGAAGGGAAGGTACTCAGTTTTCCTCCAGAAGCACCATTTATTGCAGCACAGGCCCCCCCAGTCATGCTGCAGAGGAGTGGCTCTGAGCGTGCTTCTCCCATTCTCCCTTCTGAAACAAAGCTGGATTCAGCTTCACGGCTCTTACAGCATCATTTTCATGCTGGTGTATTTTAGCCAAGAGACAAGTGCTTTGTCCTGCTCCTAAAAATTGGTCTGGATAAATGGACAAGACACTTCAGCTATACTCATCTTCAGCTATCACATCACTCAGTGAGTGCTGCTAATTCAACAGATTAAACTGTGAGAACAGGCTGTCAGTAGATCCCCTGAAGCTCTCTCCAGGTGTGTGAAATTCCAGGATCTCATTGCTTGTCACATTGTCACCAAGGAAAAGCCAAGGCCAGAGGCAGAATGTTTATCTCAGCAGGAAAAGATGTTCCTGGAGCAAGGACACTTTGAAAACAGATCCTCCAGTAACAAGAAGCCACCAAGAAATGGAGGAATAAATACCTGTGACATTGGTGCGGGCTGACAAAGCTTCGCAGTACTTTTCCAGCAGAACAGACAAGGGCAGGTTCACAGAGGATTCACAGTGGAGAACTATCTGGATAAACAGAAAGAAACCAAGCAGGTAAAGCAGCAGCCTAGAACAGATTTTCTCATTCACGAGTACAACAACCCCCAGCAGTCTCAGAGCAGTTCCCACTCATGATTTATTCAGGCACAGACACTCCTGACATAGAAGGTTTGTGGTTATACTTGCTCTGCTCCAAGGCATCACATGGAATTCACCTGATTAATACAGAAAACTGCAAATTAACCACCTCTTCTGGGTCTCTCCTTGTGGGAGCTGCTCAGTACCTTGAACAAAGCTCAGGATACACTTTGTCTCACCACAAAGTTGATGCCTGAAATAGCAGAGCTGAATCACATCCCATTAAAGATCATGTGTTGAGTTTTTCAGTGAACTTTTAATTGCTATGTGGGTGCCAAAGACCTTTGCACATTCCAGAGATACAGCAATTGGCAAAGGGCAGTTCTGAGGGCTTGAAGAAGGTATTTCCATGGAATTTATAGGATAATTGGGCATCCCTGTAAGGTGTCCTGTGGCTCTTTTTAGCCAATGAAAGCCACACAAGTTTCTGACCCTCAGCGTTCAGGGCTGAGCCTTCTACTGAGAAAGAGCAGTAATGCCAACATGGGCACTTTGAGAAAGCTGCAGGTTCAGTACAAGGTAGCTAACAACACCAAGTAAATTTTAGGAAATAGAGTTGAAAATCAATGGGGATATTTTAACTTTCACACTCTAAATGAAATTACTGAAGTGCTCATTGCAGACAGAGGAGAGAAGCCCACAGAGTTGTACACCAAAATATAAAGCCAAGTTGGGATTCTGCTTGGAGCAAGAGAAGCTCTTGGAAAGCCCTTTAAGAAAGGCAGAACGAAACGTGGCAGGAAAATTCAGGAGTGACAAATCAATGACAGAAAATTCCATTTTCAAACTGTGAAACAAAATCTTTTTGACTGTTTCTGAGGGGGATATAAAGCCATGGTAACATACAAAATGCCTTTGCTTTTCTATTTACACAGAATGACTCCAACACAATTCAGGCAGCTTTTACTCAGGGAAATAACCCTACTCATTGAAGGCTGATGCTTTATTTCAGTGCTTTAAGGTGTGTTAAGTGACTGAGGAACCCATTTTATGTCACTGAATTCTCTGTCACTTAATAAAAAGGAGGGTAAATGCTCATTTCAACAGAATCCATCAGCAATGTTCATCTCTAAATAACAATAGCACCTTTTTCTACCTATTTCTCACTTTGCTGTTATTTTGCAAAATATGAAGTGTTTAAGTACAAACAGAAAGCCTTTCTCAGACTTCATTCTTTCCATACAAACTCCATGAAGGTTCTGTTTTGCCTCCAGGGAGGCTCAAAACTCCTGCCTCCCATAACAAAACCCCATGCATGGTCAGATGAAGGAGATAAAAGTGGTAAATCCAGGTACAGATTCCACCTCCAGAGGCATGCAGCTCCCAAACCCAGACTCTGCAGTGTCCACGTCTCATGTCAGATACAGTCATGGGAGTTGACACAGAGAGATATTTCTTCCCCTCCATCCTTCACCCCTTTGCCACCTCCCAGGCCAAAGCACTGCCTCACTTCAAAGAAGAAACTCGAGCCATCCCGTGTACTGTAAATACGCCGCGTGTCCAGCTGTGCCCTCCCAAGACGATGGGAAAGAACAGACAGAGGTCAAGCTCAGCACAGCTTGGGCAGGAATAGGAAAGGTTAAATGTCACATTTGCCTTAGGGTCAGCTCAGGTTAATTTGGCTGGGGGGAAAAGTGCCTTCCACATATTATGTTACTTTTGGTTTCATTTTCTCTCCTCTAAGCATAGGCAAGAGCCTTGCTGTGTGTGAAACTTATTTTTTTTAAAAAATTGTGTTTAAAGCAGACAAATCCCAAAAGACTAAAAACCACCTCTTACTATAATAAAAGAAGAAAAAAAAAAAAAAAAAGAGAGAGAAAAAACATTTCAGTAATGTAGAATTGTAAAGATAAATAATTGGGCCCATGATGCACAGAAATTATATTTTGAAATACTGAAATAATTGCTTTGGGTCACTAATGCATGACTTTACTCAAACTGCATTTCTCTTAAAACAGCTATTCCATAACGTCTGCCCACCAAATCAGTTCTTTTTTGTCCTTCAGATTTACCTAAATCATGCACAGAAATGTCCAACTTAATTCCTCTGAGCCACTGTGGACATTTATGAACAAATAAAACTCACGCACTGAGACAAAGATTGAGGTGAAAATTAATCCTTTACTTTCCAGAGCAGGGACACCAAGTAAGAGCAGGCCAGCTCTGAGCCTTCAGAAAAAAAATATACAGAACCTTTGGTCAACTTCCCATTCACATCTGAGAGGACTTTGGGGAAAGGATGAATTGCTCTGCCACTGTCTGCCTCTCTCATGGGCATTTTGTTGGACCTTTCCCTTTAGACGTGGTCACTGCTCTTCATTAATTCATGAAAGATCTTTATCTCTGCCAGAGGATATCAACTATGAGACACAAGTGTTGCCTACTCTCAGTTCCCACCAGAATTTGTGGTTATTTCATCCAGGTTAGAGAGGATTTGTAACTTCATTTTAAGAAGAATTAACAAAGAGTCCTGGTTTGGAATACTGGGTTCCACTATGGAGCATTACATAAATATAAAACCAAATGAACACCGGTGCTGTAAAAATTCACCTGCATTGGAGAGGTTGTTTTCTCCTCCCAAACATGGAAGAAATGGCTAGAGGAATAGAAAGGAATGTCTTTAGAATATAAACCAGCCCCCAAAGCTATGGATAAGCCAAAAATGTCAATAAAAGCATGGGGCTATCACAGAGACACAGTGGAGCATCTGGTAAGATTAAATATCTCACCGTAGGTAGCAGCAGAGTGGGTGAAGTCAGCAGGAGTGAAAGCTGTAGAGGACTGCAGTGGAAAAGGATGATCCATGACATTGGAACTCCCCTTGCCAAGGTGCAGGTGAGTTTGGAGGCAGTGGATGCTGCCAAACAAGGACAGATGCACATACTCCCCTTTCCCATTCTCACACAAGAGTTCCCAGATGTCATATTCCAGTGCTCTAATAAAAGCACTTGTTAGGCCTCCCTGTCAAACATCTGCTGGTGGCATGCTGAGAGGTGCTGACATCTGACACAGCCTCAAAGCAACAGAGTAAAAACTCTTTCTTAAAAAAATGTAGTTTCTAGTGCTGCCGAGGTCCCAGAGAGATCCATCCCGTGGAAGTACAACAGCATCTCAGCAGAAAGCCACTCCCCAGAAAAGCAGTGGGATTTGTATTGGATAGCTTAGACTTAAAACAGAGAGAGCAACAGCTGAGCTGATCACAGGGATTCCTTTGGAATTCAGGAAGAGAAGCAGGAATTTTCCAGATGCAGTTCATCTGCAGTATTTTAAATCTTTAAATTGGAATGACCTTCACTGACTGCATCAGCTGGGTCTTATGCACTGTAAGGACAGGGTCACTTGGATGCATCCTTCCTAAATTTTCTTTAGACACTACATACGAAAGGAGAGGTCAAAACATTCCTAGAGAGGATGGCTGCAGAAGACATGAGCACATCACCATCTTATTTAATCATCTGTGCTCCTTCTTCCACTGAGCAAGATGAAGTGACTTTCCAACATGAAAAAATGTGGGAGTTACCGACACAAAATGTGCTCAGTCCACAGCTGACAGGAGAAGGATCCATCTCATGTCTTCTTTGCCATGCAAGAATGAAGTCTTACCCTGAACTACTCACGTTGCTCTCTATAAAGCCAAAGCATTTTCCCCTCCTGAGAAACCACCTCTGGCAGTGGCATGCATCATGTCAGGAGGGTGTTTCTTCCTACCCTTCATCCCTGGGAACCTCCACTGCTCTTAAGATTCCTACTTCAGCTTTTCCCATGGGTTTCGTTAAAATACCTGAGGCTGCAAATGTTACCTTGTTTCAACATCAAAATTGCAGCAAAACTGTATTCAGCACAAAGAAAAGCTGCTGCTAAGCAGCTTTGCCCCAGAACTCGGAGGAAAAAGAAAAAAAAAGGAGTGTGAGAGAAAAGGGAAACCTGCATTTAATTTTTAGTTCTTCAGTCAGGCAATGCAAATAAATTCACTCCATGTCCACACTGAGATTGACTTCTCACCCCAACTTCTGGGATGAACGTGCTCAGAACAGTGGCCCAATTAAAAGCAAAATTTTTTTGTTTGTGTCCACAGAAGTTCATTTTAGGGAAACACAGCCATCTAACTTCACAATGCAAGTGTAATTAGTGAAAGAGCTCAACGTAGAAAAATCAAAGCAAATCCCACACTTCCTTGACAAAATCCTTCCTCTGTTTGAACAAATTTTCCAGGGCAGGTGGGCATCTGGCAAGTTCTACATCACTGGTGTGTGGAAACAGATGCTTTGGGAGAAAAAACACCAGATTTTCCTTGGAATGCTCTTATAACAAATGCCAGTTTTCATCTGAGCACTCTTTCCTTCTAAGAGACGGCAACACATGGGAGAGAATGAGAAGAGCTGGAATATTTGCTGACTACTAATCACCTGAAGGAATATGCACAATCAGAGGAGTGAAAGCTGCTGCTTCAGGACAAAAAAAGAGATTAGAACAGGAGAGGAGGGGACAAATCATCATAACAGTGGCCAGGATGGATTTATATCCACTGCCATGTGGTTACTTCATCCACAAGATGCATCTGAAAGAGATGCTTATTAAAGAACAGTATTCAGAGCGCCAGCATGTTGGAAATACTTTGCTTTTTGGAGAACCAAAAAGGTCAGGCCTCCACATCAAGATGTTTCTGGCCTTTCTCAACCCAGTAACTTAAAATCACTCGTGCAGCAGCACTTGGCAGTGTACAATTGTCTGGCTTGGCTTCACCAGAAAAATAATTTCCATTTGGGATAAAAAGTCTAAACACAAGTTTTCACAGGAGCCTGCAACCTGAAACCTGAGCCAGCTAAGGTTACAGTAAAGGGAAAGACTCTGAGCACTGTTCAAGAAAAATAGGCTGCTTTTCA